GTGGAGGATGCCCCTCCGACGGGGAAGGAGCCTATCCAGCAAATCAAGAGGACAGTCAATGCTTTCTCCAAGCCAGGCAGACAGGATAACCCAGTGAAGCAAACGCCACCACGGCCTCAAATCTCAGCCCGGGTCCAGCAGAGCCACCTGAGCTCAGACACACACAATCCCTGCCTGCACCAGCCAGCTCCGAGGGGCAGCACGACACCACCCTGCTCCTTCCCCCCATACAGTACTCATGATTCTAAGTGCTTTGCAGACAGAGTTCCACATCATGCATATACATTTCCACGTGCCAAGGCCTCGGCCCAGCAGACACCGTCCTCCTGCAGCAGAGAGGTCCTTCATTTCGCGTGGGGCTCGTAGCGTGCATCGGCCTCCGGCCCCCTCCTGCTTGAAGCTGCCAGGACCCGGGTCTGCAGCAGCCTGGGCAGCTGCTGAGTAGCGGGAGTTGGGCAAACACCAGCACTAGGGAAGCAGCTGGTTACAAACAGAACCGTATTTACAGAGCTACAGTGAGCTTCAAGGGGGTTCGTTTTGCAAGGTTCACCCAAGAGAGCCAGGAACAAGGAGCTGTGCATCCAGAGGTTCTGCCGGGGAAAACACACGGTACCAGCACGGACTTCACAGCTTAGTTGGCACAACTAAGGCGAGAGATTCATTGCTAACTGGATCCTCCCTCCCCAGACAGCAACACTCAAGAGGTGATTATGGCATTAGGGAACAAGACGGTGAGGTGGGGCACGGCCTGGAGCGGAAACCTCTGCTGAGAAGCCCCCCAGAGGACAGGGTTTCTCCTTTCTCAATGAGTCTCTGCATGGAAGAGCAGCACCTCTCGTACCAGACACCGCCACAAGACACGGCAAGTCACCAAGGGAAGGGAGAGTGGAGGATGCACATGCTCAGCGGAGCCTCCTCCTCTGCCTCCTCCAGCATCCCGGCAGGGAGACCCTTGGAATCGGGAATCTACCTCTACAGTGATGCACAGCGGGGCGACCTGCCAGCAAGAGGGGATCTGACCTGCTGATTGGGGAAGGAGAGAGGACTGTGCTCACCCCCAGCAATTCAGTCACGACTGGATCCTGCTTCCTAGAGGCTGGAGTCCACTGGGAATCAACAGCCCAGCCTTTTTGTCCCACCAGCCAACACGGGATTCAGCTACTGACCAAAAGGGACATCAGGAACGGTCACAGACATCTCAGAGGCTCTGGAGGGGCAGGAGCACAGAGACTCAACTATACAGGGTGCAAAGAGTCCAGAGCCAGAAAGCAGCGCCCTGGGGAGAAGCTGAAGGCAGCTGTAACGTTGTGCACGGGCTGCTCATCTGGCTGGTGGCTGGGAAAGGACAGGGTGAGCCAGCGTGACATTCAGGGAGTCATTGTGCTGCACCAGGGACGTGTGCTTGTAGTGCAAGACCAGGTCCTTGAGGGAGGCGTAGAGGTTGTAGGGCTCAGCGAACCCGTAGCCTGTCGCTGTTTTGTAGATCACACAGTGTTTGGTGTCACCGTCCACCCTGCCAGGGACACAAAGGACACGGGTCAGCAGCGGGACGGGGACAGCGGAGCACAAGCAGGCACCAGCAGAGCAGCCCGAAGACACATCTGGCCCTGGCAGGAGGAGCTGAGGCAGATGGGACGCATCGGAAGCCCAGGTGATGCTTCCTCCAGCTCCAGCATGTGTCCAAGTTGGAATGCGGGAGCAGAGCCCGCGCCAGCCCCATCCCAGCGCGTCCGCACGGGGATACTCACACCACGGAGCAGGCGTAACACCCCTTCTGGCTGCTCTCGCGGATCAGGAAGGTGCCGTCCCGCTTGCCACAGAGCATCTCCTCTGCCTGCAAGCGGTTGATCTTCCCCACGTACCACGTTCGTTCCTCGTGGTGGGGCAGCTCCTCCTCATCATCCATCATGGAGTACTGGCTGTGATTGAGCACAGGTAGGGTCAGACCCCCTCACTTTGGGCGGGTGGCCCCCACATCTCCCCTCCCACTGCTAGATGCCAGCACCCCTGCCGGCAGGGGAGATGTTCCCGGCTCCCAGGCAGGGAGATGGGATTTACCCATGGCCCCAGCACAGGCAGAACCGGCTGCACAACCTGTGCTCCTGCAGCTCCCCCCGCATAGAATCCTAGGACCAACCAGGTTGGAAAAGACCTTTAAGCTCATCAAGTCCCACCTTTCCCCCAGCACTGCCAACCCCACCACTACACCACGTCACTGAGGGCCTCATCTACACGCTCTCTGAACGCTTCCAGGGCTGCTGATCCCACCACAACACGCGCAGGGACACTCACTCCTCTGTCTCGTTCTTGATACCCAGCCACTCGTTGATCTTCTTCTGCCGGGCTCCCTTCTGTGTCAGCCACCTGGGGAAGGAGAGGCAGAGCTCAGCGTGCCCGGGCCACGCACCACTGGAGCAGCCATCACCAGAGGGCAGCAGCCGTGCCCCAGGCTGCACCCTGCAGGGTTCACCCCTGCACCCAGCAGCCCACGAGCTGGTCTGACAAGCCCCAGAGCCCTCAAGGAGGCAGCTGGATGGCTGCGGGGGGGCAGCAGGGCCCCGCTCCCAGCCCTCACGGGGCAGGAACCACATACACCAGGTACTGGTCCCGCAGTTTGCGCAGCTGCATGAGGTCTGGCTTGAGGCTGTTCATGCGCTTGTCGATCTCCCGGTTCTCCGAGGCTTGTTTCTTCAGGTCCTGCTCCAGCTTCATCTTGCTGTCATGGATTTCTGTGATGCGGGACTTGAGCTTCTCCGAGTTCATGAGGATCCTGGGAGAAAGAGGTTTAGGCCGTGAGCCAGGGTGGGGGAGGCGGAGGAGGCAGCCTGCCAGCTCCAGCACACAGCACGCGGCTGCAGGCACAAGGGCTGTGCGT